TAAGTACTCAGCTTCGTAACCTTATTTGATTGATTTTTTATCATTTTTCATGACGGTTGACTAGATTGACATCGGGGTTTGAATTTTGTCTGATAGATGGGATATCCGCACCGCATTTGGGTGCTATTACCACAGACATTATCCGTTCTGACAATAAGTTGACAACCTGGACCGATAACGTTATGCGATATTTAATCCATTATTGTTTTATAGTGCTGATTTAATCACATATAAACAATTAATGTAATCAATATATATATACCTACAAATAGTATAGTTTAACAAACTCGGCAATCTAGTTCTAATCATATACACATGTATGAACCGAAAAATAATTTCAAGAGTTTTACTATGTTTTAACAATGAGTAAAATATGTTACACCAAATATGTCAAACTATAAAGTGTAACTTTTATAAAGCAAACAATAAAGTGAAATATTCAACACTAAGGTACCACACAACAGATTGAATTCTTTATATAGCAGATAATGGAGTAAAAGTTCCTCATATTCTTAGTCCGTTCACGCTAACTAGTAGGACTCGATTGGCCCGTAATGTCAGAAGATTGAGATAAAGCACAAAAATTAGATTGTTTGTTTCTTTTATCCAAAACTACACAATGGACTATTTGTGGTGTGTCAGCTTCACATATATAATCTCACATTTTAGCGTTATAAACCCTGAATCTCACCACTGATCCACTGGGGTACCCAAAGAAGAAGAGAGTAGAATAGAATTAACACTAATATGTATTATGTAACAACATTTTTTTTATATAACACGCAACCATACACTAACGTATAGTTTTGAGATGAATTATACACATTAGAAGATCATCCAAAACTTGTACATTTATATTTCATTTCTTTTTTTCTATAGCTTTTTATGGAATTATATTCAAGAAGAATGAAGAGGCAGCTTTTTCTAACTACAGACTCTGGGAGTCCATCGGCTTTAGCATGGCCTTTGCCTACAGTAATTACTTATGTGTGGACGTTAAGATCTACATCCTTATAGGCTTCCTAGTATTAGGCATTATTGGATACTTGGCCATCGAATTTTTCAAGAAACGACACAGTAAAGGAATGTTTTGGTTATACCTTGATTAGGTTTCATTTGACGTGGGATGAAAATCTGAACAAAAAGTATGAGCTCGCATGTTTTCTTAATGTTTTGACATGAAGGTTTAAAACGTTCTAAGATATGATTGAAATAATATGAAAAGTTGTGTAGTGATGATCTAAAACTCTTTAATTCAAATAGCGTCATATAATTTTCATATATATATGATTTTTCGACAAGTTGGTGTCTTCAGTCTTCAATTACAGAGTAAAGTTGCTCAAGTTATATAAATAAAAAATAATAATATTTAATATAGCGTTTTAATCTTTATAAATGTACTATAAAATCCATTGTTTCTGACACCAATTCAGTCGAGAACTTTGATAACATTTATAATGAATCATCAACAGACCGCAAAGATAATTATCTGCAAGCGATGCTTATGACTCCTTTTCCTCGATAATTCATCATTATATGTTTAAAATTCTTTCTTCCAGCCTGTAGTGTTTAACATGACGTAGGTTCCAGCTTTTTCCGCAAGTCCTACTAACACTACTAATATCCATATCAGAATTGCGTAGTTGTAGTTTTGTTATTTCTATGATCACGGTATTTGTAGTCGTATATGTGTAGAAGGGTCGTCTACATAGCTTCTCTGTCTTCTGCACATTGTCTCTTCCCAATGGATGCCTTACCATCACTCTCTATAACACTCCTACATCATCTATTATCTTATAAACACCCAAACGTACCATCTTTCCGCTGCTTCTTTCAGTTCATCTGAGAGTCAAAAGTTTTGTTTTCGAATATTCGCGTAAAGCTACTCAAGAGCCTACTTGATTCAGCGTCTTCTACATTTAATCTTGAAAAAACAAGTCACTATGATTTTATCTAATAAGCTAGGAAACAAGAAGCCAAGCGGTGAGCGACGGTAACTTACTACTAAAATGTTTAATTATTCAAACAAGCTAGACATAGTATTTTACTCGCCCACTTCCAGAATATTTCAGTATCTTTATCAATTTATGTGCAGTAGTCCATTATGGCTGAAACTATAGAACGTCAAAAATTAATACCCAAGTTTCAATATACGCTATTAACTATTTATTGTGAGTTTTCTACTTCGACACATTTTATAATGGTGGTGAGTCGACTATGCTCGTTCATCTAGAATATCATTCGATCTTTAAACGCCAGTTTTATTTTATTAACTGAATTATTTACTAATCTATATTTATAAGCTTATTTTACAGTCTAACAATATTTTAGTGATTTTTTGCATTTTTACAAATTATTATTTTTATCCTGTATCTGTATATTCTGTGTTAACATACTTTTTATATTCATTATTATAATCAAGTGACTATGAAACAGAGC